TATATATATATATATATTTTATATATATATATATATATATATATATATATATATATATATATATATATATATATACATATATATATATGTATATATATATATACATATATATATATATATATATATATATATATATATATATATATATATATATATATATATATATATATATACTATATATATATATATATATATATATATATATATATATATATATATATATATATATATATATATATATATATATATATATATATATATATATATATATATATATATATATGATATGATATGAAATTAACAGGAGATCAGAAAGAGTAGAGCAGGTCTAGTTGAGCAATTTTTACTCATGAACGGTGCGTCGGATTTACATAATCTTAGCAATAGTGTGTGGTAAGTTAAAAAATCAACAAATAAATCAATATGTATGGTACGAAACTTAGGTGAATCATCAATAAAACTTTCACTAACGTGAAGCGTGTGTATAGTTTATAAACTTTTTATTTTATTCATTTTATTGACGTAAGTAAAATAAGAGAGAAAATTAAATCGTAAGAAAATGTCATTAAATATAAAAATATAATTTTATTCATCTATCTTGAACTTTAAAGCCCGATTTGAAAATTACTAATTTTAAAAATATGTATAAATAATTAAACGCTCTATTATTTCTCATCAAAGTTGTTTTTTTGTGTTCGATAGTTCAGTTTTATTTATTTTTCTCAAAGCTGCTCAACTTACCCCTAGTACACAAGGTGACGCATTTGTTAGGTTTTAAAGAGAACAGTAAGATTTAAGAAAAAACAGTTAATTTTAATCAAAAGTCCAATAAATTGGCAAATCATCAACACTTAAGTGATGGCAGATAAAAAAAGTTTATAAGCATAAAAGCAAAAAAGAGCAAAAATAAAATAGAAAAAGTGCCCGTTTATCTTACTCAATAGCTTTTCACCAATTTTTTGTTGAGCATTGTGTTAGCATTTTAATTCCCTAACTTTTATATATTAGATGTTTTGTCATGTAATGCGTAGTTTTTGAGTATTTTACCAGCCCAACTTGCCCCTATGCTCAACTAGCCCCGTTCTACCCTATGCTGAAATAAAATAACTTTTGTAGTTTTTAATTACTTTTAGCAAATGTAAATGGCATATCTTTAGCATCTATAGTATACTAGTTGCAGATGACTCAATTATTTTCTTGCAAAGTAATAAAAGTCTTTTTTTTTAAGATACTTTAAAAAAGGCTTTTATAACTTTTCAAAGTTTAGTACAATTATAAACATTTTTTAATAAATTTTTTATAATATGTATAATTTTTTATAATATGCATAATTTTTTATAATATGTATATTTAGATAATTTAAAACTAAACTTATCAGCATATCGTGACGTTAGAATAATCTTGTTTTATCTCCACATTTTTGAGTTTTGAGATAAAATGATTTTAAAAAAGAAAAACGTTAGGAGGCGGCATACAAAAATTTTTTTTATAGCTTATGTTTTCTCCGCCACTTTTTTGCTTATAACTTTTAATACAGTAGAAAAGCATTATTCTGAGGTACATAATACTATCAATATCAATAACTCAACTTTTTCAAAAAGTGGAGATGCAATAAGATAATTCTAACGTCGCTATATGTTAAATAACATGCATTCTAATAAATTTTTATTACACTTTTATTTAAATTCATATATTGGCTAAGTTACCTTTTAATAAATAAGTTTTATAAAATAATTAAAAAAAAGAAATGGAAATTAGTAATCGTTTTACTAAAATGCAAAATGGAATGATGAGTCTTCAAAAAATAATCGTTTTAAATCTAATAAAAGCAAAAAGTTGTAAAAATTTTTTATAATTTATGGAACAAAAGCATTACTATAAAGCGAAGAGAGTTTTGTTTTTTAACAATCGTTTCAAAATTAAAGTCTCAAAACAGTATTATGTTTCAATATCAAAATTTCAAAATAAAAGAACAATAGCTGTTTGTTTTATTAGTAATAATGCTCCTGCTACGTCTACGTCAATATCAGTAGAACGTCTAAAAATGTCTTTTATTGAGACTTTACAAAAGTAAAACGTAGAAGACTTGTAAGAAGAAATTTAAGAAATACTGTATCTTATTAGTTCCATAAAAATGCATTCTAAAGGAAACTATTATGCATCCTGACATTCTACGCTATATGATAAAGTAAATACCTTAAAAACTACCCTATTTATTTACCAAAGGCTGTAGTTCACAGAAATTTAAAGTTACTTAGTCTTGTGGGTAAGTTTTGTCAATATTCACTGATTTCTGATTTAAAACAATAAGTACATTTGCACTGATTATTTGCGGATTCATGAGAGGGATGGATCTAAAGCAACTTATTACCCCACTCAGATTTTTAGCAAAACTAAATCTACTTTTTTTAAAAATTTACTTGAAAAATTTGTTTTTTTTTATAATAATAATTATTCAAATCTAATACAAATTAAATGCGGAGTTTATCAAGGTTCTACTCTTGATCTCTTCCTATGTTAATTTATACTAATGAACTTTAAAAAACTTTAGAAAAAAATCCGGGAATTTTAGGAAGGGAATACTCCATCCCAAACCCTTCCCTCAATAAACCTCCAAGCATTACCCCCCACCACTGAATCCTGGATCCGCCGCTGAGTAAAGTCTGTTTATTTTAAAACCTGGATATGGATTACTTGTGACAGCATCATTATAAGAAGAGCTGTCATTATCTCCAATGTATAATTGATAAATACAAAGTTTACATTGTTTGTAGTTCATAATTTTTAAAATAAACATAAAGCATAAATACATAAGAAGCTGTAGTAGTTGTTGTTGTTATGATTTTTAAAAGCTTCAACAAGTTAAAATATTTTTGTTGAAAAATGCGTTGCTATGGTGTTGCTACGGACTTCATCAACCTACTATGGCCAAAAATACACATTTTTACATACTTCTTCATTAATTTTTTTATAAAACATTTCATGAGCCTGACAAAGTTGAATTAAAAAAAATCAGTTTTTGAAAAATAATATACATTTTGAAAAATAATATATATTTTTTGAATTTTAAACTTAATATAGATGAATTTAAAAAAAATTTTAAAAACAAAAAAATAACAAAAAATTTACGACAAACTTCATGACATGCTTTACGACAGACTTTAACAATTTACTGTTGTCTATTTGTTGTTGTTTTACTTGAAAGAATAATCTTGTAAAACAAGCTCAATAATTTATTTATAAATATAAGGATACATGTGTTTTTAAGCCATGATGTTAAATATTGTTACAACAACGAATTAAATTTTTCTGGTAGTTTAAAATATCCTAAATAAACTCAAAATTTATAATCCTCTAATTGCAAGAAACTTACTTCAAGCAAAGCGTTGCGAAACACTTCTTCAGCGAATCGTTGCAAAATATTTTTCCAATAATATTTGTTTCAACTGTTTTAGGACTCTATTAAATAAACATTTTAAAAATATTTGCGTTGGCTATTTAGTTCGGTTTACATTTTAGTTTGGTTGGCAGTTTAGTTTTAGTACAAAACTTTATATTTTCCTAATATTGAGTTTTTGTGGTGTGTAATTGGTGGTGTGAAATTTTTGTGGTGTGTAATTGTGGTGTGTAATTAAAATACATATTTCTAATCTCTAGAGAATCCATCGATAAAAAAATTAGATATTGCCATTTGATAAACCCATCGATAAAAAAATTAGATATTGCCATTAGATAAACCCATCGATAAAAAAGAGTAGATATTGAAATTATTTCAAATAACTTCTGTGGGCGACAATAAAATTTACTAGTTAAAATGGAGTATAACAACTGGTTTCATTTCTGCTTTCTTCCACCCTATAGATTCCTTTGCATCATTAAGAATTGTGGTAATCAGATCTATTTATATTTAAACTTTTAGCAATTTTTTCTTCAATCGCTTCCTTTTCTTAATTTATATTATATTTGACAATTCAAAATTATTAGTACCACCTTTTTTTCACTTCTTGAATTGAATTTGTTATGTGACAAAAAAATCCATTCTCCTCGTTTCTATTTAAACCTGAACGTTTTTAGATAAAAATTAAAAAAAATTTACAAAGTTTGAATGTTTCTTAATAATTTATACTCTTTCGCTTTTTTTCATCGCAAATTGTCGGTTTTTATCGCAAATTATCGATTTTCATCAGTCAGACTTTTTTTTACTCATGTCTTAGGAAAAAGAAATAATTACATACAAATGATGTACATAAATGATCATAAACAGTGATGTTTTTGTTTAAACATTAATTTAACATTTCTAAGTTATTTATTAGTAATAACTATTTAAAATGATTAAATTGATAATTAAAACTTTCATCAGTGGTATGAAATAATAGTTGCTTAGGTTAATGTTTTATAAAAACTTTTATTACAAAATTAGTGTCAAAGCAATTTTCGTTAACAATTCTTTAATAAAATCTGATAATTTAGAAAGTATCTTTGGAGTAAACTATTTCTTTATCTAAATAGACCCAAAACGCTGTTAAAATAAAACAAACTTTTTTTAATGAGCTAAGTAGGGATGACTACCGTGGCAGCGGCGTTCATTACATACAATGCATTTAGCAAATACTATATAAATATTAAGATTTAAAAAAATGGCAATAACTAATTGATTTATATAAAATGAAAGAGAGATGGACGTCACCGCCTAGCTGCAACTCCATAAGAAATTGAGAAATTGTTAGTGCGCGTCTTACTGTGCAATTTTGATTTCCTTATATTTTAAAGCAATAATAATAATAAAATATTATTATTACTTTTTTTCGTTTTATTATTATTTAATAATATTTAAACAATACTACAAAAATAAGTTTTTTCTAAATTTCAAGATGAGACATTTATTAGTCGCTACTTAATAAAATAAATAATTGATCAAAATCGCAATTATTAATTCATTAAAAAAAGAGTTTTATAAAGTATCTAAAAATAAACTCGTCAAGATTAAAAAAACTTAATTTTAAACGTTAACAAATTTTTTATTGGAACTTTAAACACTTCATTGATAGACAGTTTGAATTTTAAGTAAAACTTAATGAACCAAGAAAAATTTATTACCCGGCAATCACTCATCACATACATTTTAAAATTTTACCAAGTTGAATAATTTAACCAAAACAAAATAATACTTGGAAAGTGAATGCAATCAAGCATATCGGTGGAGAGCGTTTTTAGTTTGATACTTGTAAGTTTTTGTTTTTTAGAAGTTTTATGCGTTTGCTTTCCTATTTATCTATAAGTTTTGTTCTATAGAATATAAAATGTATATGTAAATATATATACTTACTTTTATAAAAAATATTAATAATACACAATATTAATTCATGAATTTTTTTTTCACACTGCTGATGTCATTAAACTAAATTTTATTACTATTTTTTTTACTCGAAGTCGAGTAAATTGTTTTGGCTTTTCTGATTTCCCAAAAACCGATCAGAGCGGAAAATTAAAAAACGTTATTTTGTTACAAGTTAGTTTATATACTCTATGAATCTAGTAGTATTTACTAGTTATTAACAAATTATAGTATAATAAATTATCTTATTTATTATTTTTATTTTAAGTAAGACTATAATGCCATCGTCTACAGATACTATTTCCCAACACAAGAAAAAAGGTGGTGGATTCCTTAAGAGACAAGCTGCTAAATCGACAAAATCTGATATGACTGAAGAACAGCTGCTTAGGAAGAAATCTATAATTGTACCTGAAGACGTATCCCATTTGAATAGAGCTACTGAAAGTAAGTTAAATTAAAAATATATATAAACTATTTTTTTAAATTTTTTAATTGTTTTTAAATTAATAAGAGTATTACAAGTTGCAAAAAAAAAAAAAAAAAAAAAAGTTAATCTTTTATAGTAGTTGTAATACAACTAATATATAGTTAAACTCTTTTCATTGTATAACATTTTACTTGCTCCTTGTGAAAAGTATGAGATATTTTTGAAAAGTATGAACATGTAAGCTCAACTAGTTTTCAAAACAGTCTTCTAATATTGCAACAATGTTTTGATTTATATTATTCTTATATTATTAGAAATATTACTACAAATCCATAATTAAATATTTCTTAAAAATAGCTCTGTTTTATAACTTACTGTTTACATATAATCTTATACTTTTATACTTGATAAAAATTCTGCTTTTATTGCTTTATTTAACAAATGATTCTATTGAATATTAAAGGAAAAAAGGTATGTAGTTTTCAATAGAGTCATTTGTGGTCCTTACGTAGCTACTACCTATGTACTATAAATACCATAGCAACACATGGCCCACATTTACGTCATTCCTTAAATCATCACATGCGAAGCCCGCATTTTGTTTTCCTTTCAGGTAGATGTGTTAATAGATAATTTATTAAAACTTAAAGAGCATTTTTGATATATAGCAAGAAAAAAGCTGTAAAAAAAAAAAGCAAAAGAGGATTTTTGTGTAGAGTATATAGATGCTTTACATAGTGGATTATAATTTTCGTTTTTAGCACAATAATTGCATCACACTATCAGCAATATGTATCTTTCTTATAATGAACAAATGAAAGATATCTTCAAATTCTTCAGCATTAAGAGCATCAAAAGTATGAAAGTGTTTCAAGATATGTAGTATAAAAGTTAAGATATCTGTAGTCATTATGAAGTAATATTCAGTCACTATCATATTCAATAACAATATAAAAATTTTGGTACAAAAGCAAATACAATAAAAATTTATATTCTGTAAAAGGAATTGTTACAACAGTTTTTTAAATGAAATGGCACAAATGGAAAATAGAAATAATAAAACTATTTGCCAACTGAAGTCAAGAATATGGACAAGTTAAAGTTACAAGTTTAGATCCACATATGAAAATTAATTTAGGCATTTAACAAAAGGCTACATGAAACCATCATTAAATAAATTTATTAGTGAGTGATTTTAAATAGCATCTAATTGCTAACTATATCAATAATAAATCGCTCTAGTAGTTAATGATATCCAAGAGTTCATAACATTTAAAAATATTTTAAATTTTGTATCTTTTAATTTAAATTTTAAATTGCTTAATTTTTTGCCTAGAAAGTCACAGTTTTGCATACTTTGTTGTTGTTGAAATTTAAGTTAAAAAAGTTAATAAAAAAAAGTACTACTTTGTTTTTCTTACTCAGTAAACTAGTTAAATTTGTTTTGAGATGTTAGTTTTCCACAATTTCTACAACAACAACAACAACAACAACAAAAATAAACTTCTTTTTTTATTGGTTTAAAAAACATGAAGCCAATGATTTTCATGACTCCCTCCACAGGCTCTCAACTTTAATTGTTTAACTTTAAACTTGTATAGTTTTATATTATAAAATAGTTCAACTTTGTACATTAGTTTGTAATGTGTCAAATGTCTTATTTGTTTTAATAGTATATAGTAATTACTTTTTTGTCAAAACCAAAACAAAATCCTTTTAGTTATCACTGATTCATATTCAGTTTATTTTTTTAAATTTGACTATAAATTTTTTATTTTATATATTCTAGACTATCTTATTGATGGACGCAATAATGAGTTTAAAATTAACTTTACTCGCTTTAAAATTCGGGATATTGAAACAGGAGAAGTTCTTTTTGAAATATCAAAACCAGATGACGAGAGTGATGATGGGTTAGATTACGATGAAAGTGATGATGATTCTGGAAGATTTGTTCGGTATCGTTTTTCAGAAGACTTTTTAAAGCTTAAATCTGTTGGAGCAACGTAAGTTAAATGATATTTTAAACTTGATTTTGCAGTATCATTGCCCAATATATATCAACTATGTTCCATATCAATTATATTCCATATTGTCATATTTAAATGAGTATATGGCATAATGGAAACTTGTCCAAACAACAAGTGTGGAACACTTGTTGTTTGGACAAGCTACTAAATCTTAAAATTAATGTTGTTTTTTTAATTCAACAAAGAAATTAGTCTTTTGTGAATTTCTTTTAAACATTCCTTTTTTTTTAGAATTGAGTTTACTGTTGGTCCAAAACCTCTAGAAAATTTTCGTATGATTGAGAGGCATTTTTTTAGAGATCGATTGCTAAAAAGTTTTGACTTTACATTTGGGTTTTGTATGCCGAATAGCAAGAACACATGTGAACACATATATGAGTTTCCAAGTCTAACACAATCAGAAAGTAAGTATCTAAATTTTTATAAAAAATTTCATACTTTGTACAAGTTCAAATTTTTTTATTTTCCAAATTAATTTATGTTATAGAACTCAAACTTTTTTTTTACATACTTTTTGATTTTTTTTTTTTTTTTCAAACACTGAAATTATTTAGACATTTTAAATATAATATAACTTTAATTTTAAAAAAATATAATAAAAAGTCTGTTATTTTAGACTTAATTACAACAGTAATAGTAAAGTAAAATGGTTAGTAAAATAGAATAGAGATGTGAATATATAGTTCAATGTATAATGAGTGTTGGTTACAGTAAATTTGGTTTGCAGTACTTTGTAAACCAAAATTACTATTGTCCCCTTTCCACAAAAAATTAATTAGATGCAAAATATATCCAATATATCCAAGTGATATATAATTTTTTTTTAATGATTTACTAAATCTCATTGACTTTACAAACTTGAATGAAATGTTCTGCAAATTCTTGAATAACTTTGTTTAAATCAATTTTTTTGTTCTTGTAACATAGTACTGGAATAGGAATAGGAATAGTACAATTTTTTATAATAGAAATTATGAAGAAATGTTTAAAATAGCTCCATTTAATATAGAGCTGAAATCAGTGCCTCTAAATTTATAAATGGAGCTAGTAGAATTACAGTTGACCATCAGGTTAAAATGCAAAGGGATTATTATTTATTAGATAAATTTCCAAGTTTAAAATAATTAGCAATGACCAATGTAAAAGCATTTGGAACTACTTATCTATACAAATCATTTTTTTCCAAATTAAACCAGGTAAAAAAAGTTGCTTGATAAAAATATATAATAATATCAACCTACTAGAATGCGTTTCGACTAACTGTTAATAAAAACTTTAGAGAAATAAATAAAAATAAAACTATTTTGCTAACTGGTTTTTAGGATTTTATTATCAAAAATCTCTTTACTTTATGTTAAAATAAGATTGGTTGTGCTAGAGTTTATAACATGCTGTGAAATTTTTGGATCTTTTCTGTGTATTTATTTGCGTATTTGTAAAAATAAATAAATATTTTAAATGTTATATGATAATAAAAATTTGTTTTATTCAGCATTATGTTAAAAATTTTTGAACTACCAAATGATCTGGTTAAGTCTATTTTAAAGTTTCCTTAACAAAAAAAATCATAAAATGTTGATTATCCTAAATTATTGCTTTGTAAAGATGCAAAGCAGTTTATAACTTCAAATGTATGATGTGTAAGTTGTTTCTTTTTTTTGTTTCTTTATACTTTACTAAAGTTTTTATGGCTTCACACTAGTGTAGTTTAGACAGGTTTCCTTAAAGCATAGTAATTAAAAAATGGACTCATTAATGGCTTTAAATTTAAAAAAGTATATATGTATTTATTAAACTTATTTTTATATTTAGAATACTTATTTTATCCATAAAATAAGTATTCTAAATATAAAAATAAAATTTTATTCAAAAATAAGTATTCTAAATATAAATTTTTTTTTTAGTACAAATTTTTGTCATACCTTTTACTTTGTTTTGCACAAAGATCACTTTTTATCACTTATCACTTTTTGAGCAGATCAGACTTTGCGTTGAAAACTCAAGCAATATAATGCTTCTTTTCTGTAAGATTTTAATATTTTATCTTGAAAGATAATAATGATTTCTGTAAAAGATTTCTGTAAAATTAGTTGACTTTAGTCAACTAATTTTACAGAAATTAGTTGACTAGGTTGATTAGTTGACTAGGTGCCAGGTTCTCAAAAGTTTAGAAATAGATCTAGATGATCAAATGTTTTCTAAGTCAATGGAATACAATTGTTTTCTTATCAAAACTCTTGCTCAAATTTCAAGAAATTTTTATTTTTTTGTGAAAAAAAGTACAAAGTACTTTCTTTATGGTTAAAAAGTTCTTAACGTGAAATTGCTTTCCAGATCAGAACTGAGTCTTTTTGTTGTAATACTATATTAGGAGAATTACCAAGTTTAGTTTTACGAGCTCCTCCTACCCGGTTTACAAGCTCCTTCTTCCATACCTTTATTCAAAATGGGGATTCAAATCGAAGGCCAAGACTATATAAAATGTATAGTTTTATAAAAGCAATGTATAATCTATTGTACTTATATAATATAATAATGTATGTTTAATGTAAAATTTTAATTTTTATTCATCTAGTTGACGAAATAGTAAGTTCACCTTATGAAACACGTTCTGATAGCTTTTACTTTGTCAACAACCGGCTTGTGATGCACAATAAAGCTGATTATGCATACGATGGGTGATTTCAGCATTTTGGTTTTTTAATATTTTTTAGTAATAGATTTTATTGATAGATTTTGTATGCATTGAATGATCTAATCACCGTCGAATGCTACTGTTACCCAAAGATTCTGGTATTCAATGATCTTCAAAAGTTTTGTGCTGTCTTTCTGTTAACTTTTTTTAACGAATGATTTACAGGTTTAGTGGCAAATTCAATTACGCAATTTATAATCATTTCACACTCGAGATGTTTAAATGAGATCTGTAATAAAAAGAAAAACCTATTTTTTTTTTCTGAAAGTTTTTAGATCTTGTCTCATTATAAATTTTAGGTTAAAAAGGTTGTTGTTTTAATAAGTTTTTATACTTTTATAATCTTTGAAAATATTACAATCAACAGAAATATTTATTTAAAAAATAATAATTATTAAAAACGTCCATAATTTTCAAAAAAAGTTGAGCTTCACGCGTTTTTTCTTTTGTTTATTTATATTGTTTATCTATGATTAATTATTTTGCAAAATAATTGTTCTGCAAGTTATTTACCTGTTGTTTGTATTTTGGAAAAAATGTATATAGCACTATTGTAACCTTTAATTTATAAACAATAAAGATTTTTATTTTATAAACGCTTTTCTTATAGAAACGCAGTTTCCGCTTTAGAGCGCTATTGTACCTTCAATTAGTAAAAAATGTCCATCAAAAGTCCTTGCACCGCTCAACTCTCAATATTTGCAGCTCAGTCGTATTAAATTATGATATTATATATTATATATATATAATCAAATCAAATATATATTCTGAATAAAGTTGTTACATCAAGGATATTTACAAATAGTAATTTGTACTAATATAAAGTAAACACCTGTCAAAATAAATAAAAATAAGATAGAGATAGTAATAATAATAATTATAATACAAGTAGGAATAATAAAAGTAATAGTAGTGATTATAGTGATAAAAAAAATAATAGTAGCTATTATAAAAAGAATATACTATAATAATAATAATAATAATAATAGCAATAATAATAATAATGATAATAATAGTAGCAATAATAATAGCAATAATAACAACAAAAATAATAACAACAACAATAATAACAATTACAATAATATTCATTATGATATAAAGTATAGTAATAATAACAACAACAGTGATAAGGAATACTATAGAAACATCAGTTTATAATAATAAATTTAATAATTGGTATTAAAATTAGTAATATATCACGATAGAAATGAGAAAAATTAAAAGATGAATAGAAGCACTGCGTTATAAATAATAAGTTGTAAAAAGGTATAAGATTTATAAAGAGTATTTTTCTAAAAAATAGTTAAAGAGAGCAGTTTTAAATTTTGAGAATGATTTAAAAGATTTTAATTGGGAAGGGAGACTGTTCCAGGTTTGTATGCTTTTATGTTGTATGGATTCGTAGCCGTAATGAACAGTTCGGTATTTAGGTACAGATAATTTAAAGTTGAGAGCAGATCGTAGAATATATTTACAGTTTTCCCTATAACTAAAAAAGTTGATAAATGTAAGAGGTAAGTTATTATGATTTTGGTTCCAAACAAATAGACAATTTGATAGCTGAATAAGGTCACACAATTTAAGGACTTTAGATAAAAAATAGAGTATGCTACAGTTCGAATTAGTATGTTGAAAGTAAATTAATTTTAGAGCTTTGTTTTGGAGATAAGTTAGTCTTAAAAAAGCAAGCTGCTTAGATTGTCCCCAAACTTGGCAAGCATATCTGAGATGAGAGTGAAAAATAGCATGATATAAATTAAGCAAAGTTTCATGGTTAACAAAATGACGAATTTTAGCTAAAATACCATTTGATCTGCTTAATTTCAATGCTAAGTCTTGAAGATGCGATGCAAAAGATAAATTAGAGTCTATTTTGATTCCAAGATATTTAATAGAGTTAACTGGATTTATTTTTTGGCCACTTAATCTGAAATTTAATTGCTTATTTATTTTTGTTTTAGCAGATTTAAATATAATAATTTCCGTTTTTTTAGAGTTAAGAGATAATTTATTGGAGCGGAGCCATTGAACAACATTAGCTATATCGTGATTCATAATTTTGTTAAGTTTTTTAAGTGATTTATTAATTAGGAGTAAGTTGGTGTCATCCGCGAAGTGATAAGCAGTAGAAAATTTAAGAGAAACATTTAAATCATTGATAAAAATAAGAAAAAGTAATGGACCTAAAACCGAGCCTTGCGGAACACCATTAAAAGATTTAGCTAGTCCTGAGTTGATACCATTAATTGAAACAAACTGTGTTCTATTACAATATATATATATATATATATATATATATATATATATATATATATATAGAGATATATATATATATATATACTATATATATATATATATATATATATATATATATATATATATATATATATATATATATATTACGTATAATACGATATATGGGTGAAATGAACATTGAAAATAAAAATGGGCCATATACACTACCTTGTGGTACTCCTGTTGAACTCGTTGAAAATCTAGATTTTGTTAAGCCTATAAAAACTAAGGAACTTTGAGAGTGTAAGTATGATGTCAGCCAATTTAGTGCAATATCTGTGACACCAAATTCATTTTTTATACGAGCAATTAGCAGGTTGTGATCGATTGTATCAAATGCTGCAGATATGTCCAGAGAGAGGAGAATGGTGGTTAAAGCATCAACAATGTTTAATAGGATGTCATTGCATATCTTTAGAAGTGCTATTTCTGTTGAGTGATTAGACCTAAAACCAGATTAAAAAAAAAGGGGTTATTATGGGTTTACAGTTGAAGTTAAATGTGAAAGAAGCCGAGATAAAGCAAGCTTTTCAAGAATTTTGGATATTGTATTGAGATTTGATATGGGGTACAGATTAGTGAGTTTAAATAGTGTTTGTCCTAATTTTTTGGGAATCGGTGTAAGTTGAACAACCTTGAATGAGTTAAGGAAAATTCCAGGTTTGAATGAGAGGTTGATGAGATGAGCTATAATTGAACTAAACAATTCTTGACATGATTTAATAATGTTTGTTGGAACAATATCGAGTGGCGATGTCTTAGATTTGAGAGTTTTGATTACTGCCACTTCCACTGATGCATAACATCAGTGGAAGTGGCTGTACCAAATGTTGCAAAAATATTTACACGGGGAGATTGCTTCATCATAAAATTTTGGGATTGTAGCAAGTCTTTCTCGGATATTTTTTTTATACTTTCAAATTTGCTTGCAAATTATTGACTTATTATAGTATTGTAGTACAGTGAACGCTCTATATAAGCAACTCATTTGAACCAATTTTAATAAAAAAAGTTTTGTATTTGGAAAAGTTACTTAAAAGCAAAAAAAGGAGCATAAAAATACTAACCATCTGGAAAATATTTTTACTTATACAGAACAGTTGAACTAAAAAAAATGTTTATAGAGAGGTTGCTTATATAGAGCGTTCACTGTATTAGTTTTTGGATTATTCGAATGAAGTATTTTTTTGGCAAAATTCCATGTTTCTTTTTGATCACCATGTGCTGAGTTAAGTTTTTTCCTTAATAATAATTACATCTGGATTGGTAAATGTGGTTATAGTTTTGGCTTAGAACCAAGATATATATATATATATATATATTATATATATATATATATATATAATATATATATATATATATATATATATATATATATATATATATATATATATATATATATATATATATATATATATATATATATATGTATATTATATTAGGGTGTCTCAAAAAGTTTTTTTTTTCGAAAATCAAAATGTGGAAAGGTTTAATCGTTATCATTATGTATTAATAGCTTATAGTAAAAATTTCAGCCTTTCAAATCAACTCTAAGGTAAAGAATGTGGTTTTAGTCAATTTTTATTTAATAGAATTTTTCTTGAATATTATATTTTTATGTTCCGAATATAGATAGTTTTAAATTTAAAACACTCACAAAACACTTCGTTTCGATTTAAAATATATCTCAAAGAATAAGGAAGATACAAATCTCGTGTGAAAATTTAATTTCAGATAATTGTTCTAAATAGAGTTAAAAAGCAACAAAAACGTGATAACAGTTGTAATACTTGTTAGATGTTCTGCAGGTACTTCTTTGTAACTTTCTTGGATACTTGCTGCCTGTTTTTATGGACAACCTAAATTTATAAAATAGAAATGGCCGATTATTTTGTAAAATAATTAAATAATCCATGAAATAAAATTTGAAAATATTAGTTTAGTTTATTAAATAAAATGATATGGAAATACTTTAAAAGTTTTGCAGACATTATTGTATAGCATGCGCGTACATTGGGTGGGGTAAGAGGTTGTTAGGTGTAAATTATTAGGTGCAATTTACTTTCTTTTTTTGTTATTAAAAATAAGCATGATATGTGTTTGCTATTCTTAATTGCTTAATTTTACAAAAACGAACCCCCTCCCCCTAACAACTTACACGCTACGGGTCTGTATAATAATATTTAGTAATTACCTGAAGAGTATCCTGAAGTCTATCCTCGTTATGCGTCCTTCCAATAAAATCTTAGATCAGCTTTATGTGACGTTCTGCCCTATCATTTACCACGGCAAGCTGATTTGCACAAACAGAGAATTTGACAAATGACATAGGGCTCTCTCAATATCGCAAGCAGCTATATTTTTCTCCATTCACAGCAAAAGCTCTTCTTTAGTAATTTCTAGGAGAAAAAAGAGAAGATAACTTTGCTCAGTGACAAAATCATTAAGAGATGACATTAGAACAACGACTGGCTGAATTCCAGGTTTCTCAAGCACCATAAATTCTTTTTTTGAAACGGCAAAATACAGAAATCTGTTAAGGATGTTGTTCTTAACGTCAGCATCTAGATCAAGAAGGTAAAGACATTCACTAATAAACCTGGCCTCATAGTGCGCTCCGGCTGCTTAAAGAAGAAGTTAGGTATATCTGCACCCAGGAAGTAAGCCAGTAGCTGGATACTTGTAGTCTCCTCTTTGGAAAGTGTTTCTCTGAAGTGCTGTGGTGCAAAATTTTTTAGTTTCAACTGCAAGTTTGTGCAAAAGAGTATCTGGTTTAAATGCATCCTGAGACCATTCAAATTTGACAATTCTTTCAAGTATATTAACTTCTCTATGTATTTGCGGCCATAGCTTCTAAAGTAAAACATTGAGGTGTTTGTTGGGACTTTATGTTGCACCAAAAACAAGTTCCATGATATGAGACACATGTCTCTCATATATGTGGTTTGCACATTAGCCATAAAAAAGACCTTCCCAAAGTATGAACAATAACATTTCTTATTGCTCCATTGTTCTTTCCTGTATTGCTAATTGTGGTGTCAGCACACACCCCGATAATTTGATCAGATAGCTCATAATATTCGAAGATACATTGCATGGCTACAGCTTGGTTGCTTTCCTTGGAGCTTTTTATTTTCAAAATACCAAGCAGAAAGTTTAAAGGGTCAGCTTCAGAAGAAACGCCTTAGCTATCCTTTCGTGGCTTGTGGAAATTGCTTCTTCACTGGTGTACTGTCTTACAATTTTAGTATCAAAGTGAATCACTAGCTTTAAATCTCTTACTTTGTCCATGTTCTGTTCTCGGATGATCTGGGTTTCTGACTCTACTACAGTGTGTGCTTTCTTAGTCAGAGTTGATCTTGAGATTTTCAGCTCCTCAATGTTAATACCGCCAGCTTCATTAAGAAATGTCAATAAACAGGTTCCTGGTTGAACACCAAAATGTTTACGAGTTCATTTATACTAAACTGAAGACTCTTTTGGGTCTTTGTAGGAGACATAAAAGCTTTGTCAGAGTCTGGAAGGCTATCATTGTCTGTGTGCCAGGAAACTTCAAACTCTCTTTTTTTTAGTTTTTCTACTTTTCTTTTATTCTTTTTTTTTTTGATTTCTGAGCTTTTCATCTTGTGAGCGCATTTTTTCTTCCATTATTAATATAAAAAGGTGCTTTTATTTAGAAAGTTGTTTACTTTCCTGCAGTAACTTTCTTCTAGTAGACTTAGAATCTTGAGTCTTTTTAGGGATTGGTACTCGTTGATCTTGAAGGTATTATTGTTTCGGATTTGCTGCTCTGTGAGTATAAAATTGTTGTCAAATCCAGCTTTGCCCCACAAGTTTACTAGTTCTCTCAAAATGCAAACACCTCTGATTGTCTGTCGCCAATTCTCTTCACACATTCCTTCAGCTAATTTGCTGCATTTCAAATAACTTTTTCCATAAGCAAGGGCACATCCAACTTTACAGTTTATCTTGGTAGTGTTAAAAAAATGTCAAATGGTTAAGAAAAATTAAACTGTTAAAATTCAGAAACTTTTCAGACGTTACCTAGTTTCTTTTTTAATGTCGAGCCAGTAAAAGCTTCTGAGCAATTCTCCAGTCGTTGGAAGTCGATTTGGAGCAAAGCTTTGCAGTGGAAAGCCTCACAAATAAAACAGTCTACGCTTTCTTGCAGCCTGTCTCAAATCTATACCTGGCTCTAGTATTGTATTGTAACATTTTTTTCCTGAAGCCATTGTCTGAAAATATAGCTAACAGTACAGTTTATAAATTTATCGTATAAAATATAGCTTACAGTACAGTAGTTTGTTTCGTAACAGCAAATAATACTAACTATTAAATAATACTTTTTTTGCCCAGCAAAATAAAAATGCCTATCATACATAGCATACACGTGTTGTTTTTTATTATAATTATTTACACTAACAAAATTATTTGAAAAAAGTCACTTATTATTTGAAAAATAAACTTTAATGAAATGAAAACTTACTTATTATGTAAAACTTTTGTATGTCCGCGCGCAATTTTAATGTTAGGAGAATAAGCAAAATTTAAAAGTTGGAAAAGCTCATGCTAATGCTTTGTTACTTATCTTGAATAACAAAACCCTTCGGCACTATCCTAAAATCTGCTAATTCTCAACGAGTCTAAGGTGACATTTTTTTTTTACTTTTTTGGAATAAGGAATTTTTTTAAAATGTTAATTAAAAAAAAATGAA